CTCCAAGTGCATTAATGTAATTGTGTTGTCTTTCAAATATTTCAGTGTTTTGCCTTTTAAATTTTAGCTTTAAAATGTCTCTGGAATAGATTTTTGTGTATAGTGTGAGGTAGAGGTCAGGTTTCATTCTTTCACAATTCTTACAGATTGTTTCTGGACCATTTATTGAAAAGATAAGTTTCCTGTTCCACTATACTTCAGTGCCGTCTTTCCTGTAAATCAGGTATGTTGAGTTTATTCTGGGCCTGTGTTGTTTTATCAGTCTATTTGTTCTTTCATTTTCAACGCCACATTGTCTTAGTTACTCTGGTAATTATAATACATATTGATATCTAGTCAAGAAAATGGACCCTATTCTTATTCAAGAATTTTAGCTATTCTTGTAGCATTGCATTTCCCAATAAATTTTACAACAGCTTATCAACTTATCCATACACACACACACACCCAATTGCAATTTTGAATGGGATTTTCTTGAAATTATTTAACAGTTTGAAGGAAATTAACATCATCATAAAATTTAGTCTTCTGATTTTTCTGTTTATTTAGATTTTCTATTGCTCTCACTGTTTTATTGTTTTGGTCTTAGGGCTTTCATATTTTTCACATAAGACGTATTTTTAAGTGTTTAATGTGTTTTTCCTTTTTTTCTTTTTCTTTTTTTTTTTTTGCTTTATTGATGGATACTTGGCAGATAAAATTGCTTATAGTTAAGGTATATATCTTAGTCCATTTGGGCTGCTTTAACAAAATAGCATAAAGTGGGTATTTGGTAAACAACAGAAATTTATTTCTCACAGTTCTAAAGACTGGGAAGTCCAAGATCAAGGTGCCCACAGATTCAGTGTCTGGTGAGGACCTGTTCCCTGGTTTATAGATGGTACTTTCTCACTGTGTCCTCACTGAGCAGAAGAAGTGAGGGATGTCTGGGGCCTCTTTTATAAAGGGCACTAATCCTATTCATGAGGGCTCCACCTTCATAACATAATCACCTCCAAAACGCCCCACCTTCTAATTCTATCATTTATAAGGCTTAGGATTTTAACATAGGAATTGGGGTGGGGGGACAAAAACATTCAGTGTAAAACAGTATACAGCATGATAATTTGACATATGTATACATTGTAAAATGATGACCACAATTAAGCTAATTAACATTTTCACCTCACATAGTTACATTTTGTGTGGTGAGAACACGATATCAACACAAAACATCATTATTACCTATAGTCACCATGGCCTACAACTCCAGAATTTATTCATCCCACATAACTGAATCTTTGTAGCTTTTGACCAACATCTCCACATTTCCCCCACCCCTCAACCTCAGACAACTACCAGATTCCACATATAAGTGAAATTACGCAGCATGTGTCTTCCTGTGCCTGGCTTATTTCACTTAGCAATAATGTTCTCCAGGTTCATCCATGTTGTCACAGATGGTGGAATTTCCTTTTTTAAGACCAAATCGTATTCCTGTGTGTATGTGTGTACACCACATTTTCTTTATCTCTTCACATGTTGACACCCACTTAGATTGTTTCCAAATCTTAATATTTGTGAATAATGCAGTGACCGTGGAATTGCAGATATTTCTTCAGCCTTCAAACGTAGCGCTTAGTTTTACTCTTCATTATACAAGGAAATGAAATCTGCCAACAACCTGAGTGTGTGGGACTGAGCTGCTTCCTTCCGCATCAAGCCTTCTGATGATCATGCAGCCCACCTGACAGCTTGATGACAGCCTTGCGAGACCCTAAGCAGAAGACCCCGCCAATCTGGTCCAGACTCTTGACCCACTGAAGTTATGTTAGTTTAAGCTCAAGTTTGTGGTAATTTACTAAACAGCAATAGATAACTAATGTATCATTTATTAACTGTGTGACCTTGGGGAAATGGTGTGTATTCCCGGTGCCTTATTTCTCTCATCCTCAGAAAAGGTTAACAACAATAACTGATGTTATGTTGTTGCTCTGAGGATGCAGTGAGTTCTTACATGTATAATCCTTTGGCAGCGCCCCGCCAGCTAGAAGGTGCTCTGTCATTGTAAGCTGTGCTATCACTGCCTTAGCAGTTATACGCTTTTTCTTCTTTCTCCCTCCCTGTTTTCCCACTTCACACATGTATAATTTTCAGTTCTTCCATCTCATCTTTTCTACAGTTTCATTTATTTTCTCCTCATAGTCTTGGCTGGCTAAAACCTTTATTTAATGGTCATTTATCTGACAACCTCAAGTATTTGAAACATAATCAAGACACTGCAAAAACTAAAATTGATTTCGATGTGGACAGTGCACTGAAGTTATATTCTGGACTTGATGCAACTCAGAGCTTTCTTATTTCCTAAGGTAAAACACACTGGAGGTCAGAATTTAAAATGGTGGGTGAGAAACTGGAAAGAAGCATGTTCACAGCACCCACATTATTAAGAAAAACTTGGAGAGAAGGAACCTGAACACTGAAAGGCAAAGAACTCGCAGAGCAGTTCGAGGCAGAGACAGGCTGCACTAAAGGGTCTCTGAGCAAAGGCAGCACACTCATCCTCTGTGATTTCAGTTTCCAGATTTGTTTATAACATTGTCATCGAGAGGGCCTCAGAGTCCATTCTACCTTAGGAGAGCTGAGTGTGTATTTTATATTTTTGTATTTTAAATATATATGATAGGCTATTAGAAATATTTTTCAAAATTTTTCAGTTATAAAAGATCTCTGTTCAACAACAATGACAAAAAAACCCACCATTTAAAAATGGGCAAAAGACTTGGATGGATATTTCTCCAAAGAAGACATACGGATGGCAAATAAGAACATGAAGAGATGCTCAACATCACCAGTCATCAGGGAAATGCACATCAAAACCACAATGAGACATCAGCTCACATCCATTAGGATGGCTACTATCAAAAATAAATCGCAAATGTTGGCAAGGATGTGGAGAAGTTGATGGGAATGTAAAATGGTACCTGTAAACACCAGTATGGAAGTTCTTCAAAAAACTAAAAATAATACTACCATATGATCCAGCAATCCCACTTGTGGGTATATCTCCAAAAGAATTGAGAGCAGAGTCTCAAAGACATATTTGCAGCATTATTCACAATAGCCAAGAGGTAGAAACAACCCAAATGTCCATCAGTGGATGATTAGGTAAATAAAATGTGGTGTGTCCGTAAATGGAAAACAAGACTTAAAAAGGAAAGAAATTCAGCATATGCTACAACATGAATGAACCTTGAGAACAGACGTTATACAAAGTGAAATATGCCAGTAACAGAAGACAAGCACTGTGTGGTCGTCTACGAGTGGTATCTAAAGCAGTCACGTTCATAGACACAGGAAGAGCAGTGGTTTGCCAGGGGCTGGGGGAGAGGAAATGGGGAGTTTCAGTTTTGCAAGATGAAAAAGATCTGGAGAGTGGTTGCACAACAATGTAAGTGTGTGTAACACTGCTGAAATGTGCACTTAAAAATGGTTATATGGTAAATTTTATGTTTCTGTATTTTACCACAATATTTTTTAAATGCCAAAAACAATTCCAACCCAAGAAAGATTAACAAATGAAATCTTTGTGGTGGGCTGCCCCTGGAGAGGAAAAACAGTAAGCGGCGATGGAAGGATTCAACTCCTGTGAGACCAGAAGCATGTGTAGAGCGTTGCACACACCTAGTAAAAACCCAAACTCCGAATCATCTCGTGTGTCTCATCCATGAAGTCCCCTGGGGCACTAGAGCTCAGCTTGCTATTTGGCACAGAGATTGCACCAAGGGCAAGACTTCAGGTAACTTGACCTTGGGTTTTAAGTCCAGTCCTCAAACATTCGTTTTACTCATACCTGAGGCTTCATCACACTGGAGCTAACAAGCTTTAAAAGTAGTTTATTTTTCTATCAGTCACCAAGATTAGACATTTCAATCCTTTTGGAGCTCATGGCTTCCTTTGAGAAGTAGAGAATTGGATGAGATGGGCCAAAAAAGCTCTTTCTGTTCCAGGAAATCAAGCAGGGGACAGATTTTGGGCCGTGGTCTGGAATCTGCTGGGACCCAGGTGCTCAAGATGGCAGGAGTTCTGGGATCCTGTGTGGACTCGCTCACCGCTTGGAGCAGAACGCTGGACCTCAGGGAGATACTGCCACTAGATTGTGACAGGCATTCTGGGTTACTGCTTATTTTCAATATTTTTTCCAATTTAAAAAATATTTTGCATTAGTTCATCCTGAACCCTGTCCTGCCTCCACCTTTGGTTTAAAGAGTAGAGCAGCCTCCAGGTCTTCCGAGCTTGGGAGGCAGTGCTGGCTCTGGCTCCTGGTGAGGTGCGAAGCTTCAGAACCAGGTGTTCTGCCTCCGTCCAGGCGACGGGGAAGGAGAACTGCAAGTCTGAGAGTGGCTTCGAATACTCTTTTCTGCCCGGTTGTCTTCTCATCTGTAAAGCTCCTCTCCTTCGAGAAAAGCGCCGGCAGGCCGCTGACCAGGGTGGACTTAGACCCTCATCCCCAGCCCTAGTCTTGCACCCTGCCCTGTAAGCTTTCTCACCTTTCCTCATCTTAGGACAACTCCCTCAGTCTCTTTAAGGCAAGTATTCCTCCCTCAATCCTTAGGGTTCTGGTGGGACTGTGAGTCACTACACGCATACACGCATACACACGTGTGTACGTGACTGCAGGTGGGCCCATGTGAGGCCTTCCCTAGAATCCCTAGCATGTAGGCTGAGGTCAGTTCCTCTGTGACCTTAGGACATTTCTCGTAAACTGCAAGACTGATGTACCCAGTTATTAGCTGTTTGACCTTCAGCAAGTTATTTACCCTCCAGCCATCTGTTCCATCATTGCACACACACATGCACACGTGTGTACATGACTGCAGGTGGGCCCATGTGAGGCCTTCCCTAGAATCCCTAGCATGTAGGCTGAGGTCAGTTCCTCTGTGACCTTAGGACATTTCTCGTAAACTGCAAGACTGATGTACCCAGTTATTAGCTGTTTGACCTTCAGCAAGTTATTTACCCTCCAGCCATCTGTTCCATCATCTGTGAAGTTGGGACAGTAAAAGAACTTCAATAAGATGCTTGTGAGGATGAGCAAAGCCAATGCCTAACACATGACTGGTGTTTACTCACTGTCTCCTCACCCACTCCCCACCCCCTCCTGCCCGTGTCCCATCCACACATGTAACCCCAGCCAGGCACTTCGGAGCTGCCCTTCTCCCTCCCCTGTTAGGCCAGGTCTGTAAAGTGCCTTTGGCAGTCTGGAACTAAAAAAGTCTAATGAATAAACCGATAATTGAACCTATACTGGAAGTTCTAACTTCTGAGTTTATTCCTTAAGATTGGAAAGAAAATAGAGATCATAATTAATTCTGTTAGCATTTTTACCACCTGTTTCACCAGGAGCTGTCTTTTTCTGGTCTTTGTATAACACCAAGGGTCTGAGGAACTTGCCTGAGAGCAGCCATGAGCTAGACTGGAACACGTGCCTGTCTCAGGTCAGCCATTATATCTGAGCTGCCTGAGACGACAGAGAGGCAGGAGGAAATCCCCCAGTGAGTTCACCAACCACCAAGCAGAGGAAGGAGGGCACCCATTTCAGAGAGGAGAAAGAACTGCCTGCACTGAGATTCTAAAATCTAGGTCAAGGAGGAGATGGTTAAGAGGACACACACTGTGTTTGCAACTCACGGATTTCCTGGAATCACAGGGGTTTCCCTTCCTTAGTGCTTGGCACGCTGGGAAAGCCCCACGGCCACACCATGGAGTTTTGTACATGGGATGCTCTGCCCAAGTTGTGCCTGACCATGTGTGTGGTGTCAGGCTTCAGCTGAAAACATCAAGTGATTTTTGCACAGCCACTCATGACCCATTTGTCCCTTAAGTCCCTGCATTGGGTGTCATCTTGTGTGCCACCTGGCAAACGAAGACCTTGCATGTAATGTGTCTACAGCCTGCTCAGAACTGCTGCTGCCCAAGGAGCAAACACATCTCAGTCCTAGGCAGTTGCTGAATAACGTGAGCTGCTGACAGGGCCACTTTTGGGGTTCTTGTGATGGTCTTGTTCCCATGCCCCTTTCTTACAAGATCTCAATCCTGAAGGCATCAAAGGCTGGCATTGAGAGTTGGGCACAAGTAGTCTCAATTAGAGTTGATCTCAATGCGCATCCAGCTGGGAGGAATTCTAGAAAAGAGAATGTCAGGTGAGTCAATGGTTCGCATTTCTTGGCTGTCTGTCCAAGTCCACTCTGAGGCAGTGCTCACGGCGAGGCTGAGCGTCACACGTAACGTTTCCCTTCTCTCTATTTTTCCACTCTGCTGTTGACTTTGAGTTCATCTGGCCTGTTCTTTGGCTTTCAGTCTCCATGAATTTGACTACTTTAAATGCATCATATAAGTGGATCATACAATATTTGTCTTTTTGTAACTGGCTTCAAAAGGGTTCATCTATGTTGTTTACATGTGTCAGAACTTCCTTTTGAAAGGCTGAATAATACTCTCATATATTTATACATCATTTTATTTTTCCATTCAGCTGCTGGACTCGAGCTGCTTCCATCGCTTGACCGTTATGAATAGTGCTGCTGTGTGCGTGTGTGACTATCGAGACTCTGCTCTCGATTCTTTTGGAATACACTCAGAAGTGTGATTGCTGGATTATCTGGTAGTAGTACTTTTTAATTTTTTGAGGAACCTCCATATTGTTTTGCACAGTAGTTGCTCCATTTTCACACTTCTCTTAACAGTGCACAGTTCCAATTTCTCCACATCCTAATCAACACTTGGTTTGTTTTTGTTTTTGATAGTGGCCATCCTAATGGATGAGGTGATATCTCATTATGGTTTTGATTTGCATTTCTTGATTATTAGTGATGTTGAGCATCCATTCATCTGCTTAATGGCATTTGTACATCTTCTTTGAAGAAACGTTTATTCTAGTCCTTTGTCCGTATTTTAATTGGGTGGTATTTTTGTTGTTGAGTTGTAGGAGTTTTTTATATATTCTGGATATAACCCCTTATCAAATATATAATTTGCAAATGTATTTTCCCATTCTATAAGTTGTCTTTTCACTGTTGTTTTTTGATGCACGAGAAGTTTTCACTTTTGATGTAGTCCATCTGATCTGTTTTTTTTTGGTTGCCTGTGCTTTTGGTGTCATATCCAAGAAATCATTGCCAAATCTACTGTCGTGAAGCTTTTCCACAGTGTTTTCTTCTAAGAGTTTTATGGTTTTAGGTCTTATGTTTATGGCTTTGATTCCTTTTGTTTTTGTATATCACATAAGGTAAAGGTCTGCTGTGGACTGAATGTTTGTCCCCTCTCTACAACTGATATGTTTAAGTCTTTGGATTTAGTAGGTGGAGCTTTTGGGGAGTGCTTAAGTCAGAGCCCTCATGAATGGAGTTGGTGCTCTTATAAAAGAGACTTCGGAGAGATCCCATGCCTTTCCACCAGGTGAGGACACAGCAAGAAGGCACCAGCTTATGAACTAGGAAGAGGGCTCTCACCAGAAGGTTGTCATCCTGGCACCTTGATGTTGGACTTCCCAGCCTCCAGAACTGTGAGAAACATTTCTGTTATTTGTAAATAGGTACCCAGGCAATGGTATTTTGTTATAGCAGCCTAAACAGACTAAGTCCATCTTTATTCTTTTGTATGTGGATATTCAGTTTTCCCAACACTGTAATAAGTTTCGAAATCAAGTATAATACCTCTAACTTTGTTCTTTTTTCAAGGTTATTTTAGCTCATCAGGAGTCCTTGAGAGTCCATATGAATGTTAGGATGGATGTTTCTATTCAAAAAATGCCATTGGGATTTGGAAAGAGATTGTGTTAAATCTGTAGATCACCTTGGATGGTATTGACATCTTAACAGTATTATCTTTCAGTCCACGAACACAGAACGTCCTTCCATTTATTTGTGTCTTGTTTAATTTCTTTCACTACTGTTTTGTAGTTTTTAGTGTACACGTCTTTTGCCTCCTTGTTAAATTTATTCATAAGTATTATATTCTTTTTGATGTTATTGTAAGTGGAACTGTTTTCCTAAATTCCTTTTCAGATAGTTTGTTAGTATATAAAAACATCTGATTTTTGTGTGTTGATTTTGTATTTTCCAGCTTTGCTGAATTCATTTATTAGTTCTAACAGTGTGTGTGTATTATCTTTTAGGGCTTTCACATATCAGATCTTGCTGTCTGTGAACAGAGATCATTTTACTTCTTCCTTTTCTATTTGGATGCCTTTTATTTCTTTTTCTTGACTTACTGTTCTGGCTAGGACTTACAGTATTTTGTTCAATAGAATTGGTGACAGCAGGCATCCTGATCTTTGAGGAAAAGCTTTCAGTCTTTCACCATTGAGTATGTTAGCTGTGGGCTTTTCATACATGGCCTTCATTTTGTTGAAGTAGTTCCCTTCTATTCCTAGTTTGTTGAGTGTTTTTATTGTGAAAAAGGGTATTGAATTTTGTCAGATGCTTGCTCTATATCAATTGATATGACCATATGGGTGTTTTTCCTGTCATTTTATAAACATGGTGTATTACCTTGATTTTCTTATGGTGAACTATTCTTGCATTCCAAGAATAAATCCCAATTGGTCATATATAATAATCCTTTTAATGTGCTAATGAATTGTTTGCTAGTATTTTGTTGACTATTTTGTTGAGGATTTCCTCTTGCTGCTTTTAAGTTTCTCTGTCTTTGATTTTCAACAGTTGGGTCTCTTTGGATATAGTATCCTGCTCAGTGTTTTTTGAGACTCTTTTATTTTAAAATAGGCTCTCTGTCCTCTTTCTCCTCTTCCTGGTACTCCCACTTTTTTGTACATATATTGGTCCACTTAATGGTGTCCCATAAATCCTTTAGACGTGTTCACTTTCTTCATTCTTTTTTCTTTTTCCTCATCTGACTCAATAATTTGAAATGATCTGTCTTCAAGTTCAGATTCTTTCTTCTGCCTGATCAGGTCTGATGTTGAACCCCTGTGGTGAATTTTTCAATTCAGTTATGGTATTTTTGAGCTCCAGAATTTGTTTGGTTCTTTTTAATAATTTGTATCCCTGTGAGGATTCTCATTTTTAAAAAATTGTTTTCCTTGATTTTGTTTAGTTGTCTGCCCCTGTTCTCATTTAGCTCACTGAGCATATATAGAAAACTTGTTTTAAATTCTTTCTCAATTCAGAGGTCTGTGTTTTGTCAAGATTGGTTTTGGGAGATTCTTCAGAATGAACGATGGTTAGTTGTTTCTTTGTATGTCTGGTGATCTTCTGTTGAGATTTGGGCACCGGAAACAACAGCCCCCCTCCCCCAGTCTTTACTGACTGGCTCCAGGCAGGGGAGGCTGGTTATCAGCCCATTTTTCAGGCTCAAAGGTGTGCATCTTCCCTGGGACTGTGTGTGTGCTTTTATTCCAGTTCCCCATAAATTCAGCTGCTTTTAAATGTCTTTATTTCCGTAAGAATCTCAATCCTGCTTGTTTTCAGAAGCCTTGAATTTCTATGGTAGTCCTCTGTCACCTCTTTCCCGCAGGCACCCCGGGTCTGTGGACCACCAGCAATTCCGACATGCCGCACGCTCCAGCCTGGCCCCCAAACCCACTGGCGTTCCCATCACCGCTCCATCCGGGGGACACTTACCAGCCCACCAGCCGTTTTGAGCAGGGCTTTTTCTTGTGTGGGCATTCACGTGATGGTTACAGCTTCTTAACTTGGTTTCTAGCGCTCTAGAGCTCTCTGTCTTAGTCCATATATTGTTTATTTGGTGTTTCTGTCGGGGACCAAAGGCCTGGAGCTTCTCAGTCAGCTATCTTATGCTGATGTTACCTAATATTTCTTGCTTAAAATATGTTCTTTTGTTTTATATTACTGTTATGAAATTACTGGCATAAAGAAAGTGAAATCCAAACAGGATAGGCTGACATAAAAAATGTCTCTTATCCACTTCTAGCACACCATTCGTACTTCGAAGGATAACTCCTTATAGCTATTTGCAGTTAGAACTCTCCAAAGGTTATTACCGCCTTAATTCTGAATAATGTAGATGTACTTTCATTGTTTGATTCACCAGTTTTGAATTGTTCAAATGACTTAATACAACAGAAGATGAGGCTTGTAATACACTTGTCTTTCCTTCCAGTCATGGTTAACGTTTTTACATTTGTTTACATTTTTATAACTTAAAAGGATGTTTAACATGCATATATATAGACAGAACTTGATGAATTCCAGTATGTACATAAAGGAGATAAGCACTCAGACTCTCCTCCATTTCTTTTCTGCTACGCTGTATTCTGAATTGTCAAGTTTTCTAAAATTTACATTCTGTTCTGACTATAATTCTTTCATGCTTTGATTTTGATTTGAATGTTGTAATTATGTACAAGCAAATATTGCAATTCACTATATAAGCAAAATGTTATAAACTCTTAAAGAAATATAATTATTCATCACTGAAACTGCCTCTCAAAAATTTTTTTCTTAAATTTCATTCAAAACATCTTATGTGTATCGCTGACCCTGTTCTAGGAGTTTGGGTTACATCCATCACTCAGTCAAAAACATGTCATGTCTTTGGACATGTTATTGGTTTGTACTAGGATAGCTAGAGTTGCCTTTTTGCTTGACATTTAAAACATGTTTAGTCACCAAATTACTAAGATCTTCTCAGTTTCAGCATCACCATCTCAGCGTGATGACATTGTAAACTGCAGTTCCTCTTCCATCTCCGAGCTATTTGTTCAGAGCATTCATCGTTTGCTAATCTTATTCTAGGCTTAGTGTCTCTGTCTCCTTCCCATCTCAGCACTAGAATGAAAGCTCCTGGGAGGGCAGAGTAGTTCTGTTCACTGCAGAACCCCCAGTACCTAAGAGTGGGCACATCATGCTCGCATAGAAAAAAGAAAAAAATTTGAATGCCTGAATCTTCTAGCTATTAAGTGGTACCCATTTAATTATGCGTCATATAACCGATTTTCCTAAAATCTCATGGTTTGTTCTAATTTGGATAGATTACTTTCTAGGTCTGCTTCAGACCTAGAAATCCTGAGATTTCTTTTAATTACATTAGATTTGTTCTACTCGTCTTTACAGAGCATATTTTCAAGTGTTTTCAGGCAGCATGTTTATAAAGTTCTTGATTCCTTGCTAGTCTGATCTTTATTTCACCATCTCACTTCATTGAGAGTTCAGCTGTAGATAGCTCAAAATAACTTCTCTCAGAAGTTTGAGGGGAGTGCTCTGTTACATGCTAGACCTCACTGTTGCTGAGAAATCTAGTAAATCCTCAGGAGGAGGGCTAATTGGAGAAGTAACATAATTTCCCACAGCTAAGTAAATGGGTCTGCAGAACAAAAAGGTTGACTGAGGACTGTGAAGTGTGAAAGTATAAACGCAAAAACTGTTTTTTGAAATTCTAAATCATGAGGAATGAAGAGATCATTCCTTTTTGAAATTCTCTTCAGAGCATCATCCTTGCTTTCTTTTTGTAAAAGAAACTTATTTCATAAGTTTTAGCAAATTCCTGTTAATCACAGTTTGGACCACTGGAATCCTCCATTTCCTTTAACTTCTCATCCCTCATATGACTAACCAGAGTGACTTTTTTCTAATGTTTACCTGTCACATTAGTTTCCTTTAGGAATATCAGCCTTCTGGGAAGAGGGCGTGAGAAAGGACTGCGGCCATGGCTCTGCTGTACACAAGGTGGATGTGGCTGCATCTGCAGATGACGACCCAGTCACTCGTTTCCTGTACCTCTATGCTGTGGTCTGAATGTTTCAGTCCCCCCAACCCCGAAATTCATGTTGACATCCTAACTAACTCCCAAAGGTGATGGTATTAGGAGGTGAGGCTAACCCCGAAATTCATGTTGACATCCTAACTCCCAAAGGTGATGGTATTAGGAGGTGAGGCCTCGTGAGGGTGTAACTCTCATGAATGGAATCAGCACCTTAGGAGAAAGCCTCCAGAGAGCTCCCCAGCCCCTTCTAGCATGTGAAGATATGAGGCGTAGGACCCAAGAAAGGGCCCTCACCTGACCATGCTGGCACCCTCTGAAACTGTGAGGAAATAACTTTTTCTGTTGTTTACAGGCTTCCCAGTCTGGGGTATTTTGTTATAACAGCCCCAAAGGACCAAAACACTTTCCAAGCTGCAAAAATCAGAGGTAAGTTAAACCCACAGACATTTGTGAAAATTTTTTATGGGACACAATTGATATTTCGGGAAACGGGGAAGAAGTTCAACTCAAAAATGACTCCATTTTAGAATTCTGAATCTGGATGGCTCTGCCAAAAGCATTAATAAGTACAGTAATTTTTACCTCTTCTTTGGGCTATTTCTGAAAAGTAAAATATTGATTTTTAAAGAAACCCAGAAATAGTAACTGTTTTCTGACGCTGCCCAAGCATGCTACACCCAGCAGAGTGCTCTGAGCACAGCAGCAGGGTAGGCAGGCCTCGAGGGGGTGTGTGGCTAGGGTCTGAGGTAGAGGATTCAGTCACTTCAGACATCTGAAAGGCACAGAGACATACAAAGGTTCCATGTGTTTAGATGACTGAAATTGAAAAGAGTAAGAAAAAGGTAAAGCTCTGAAGATTTTGGATTAAGTATCTTATTTGCTACTCCTTTAAAGGAGCAAAAACAAAAATAAAAACCCAGGCTGAGGAGTCCTTTCTGGGGCCCCAGGGCAGGCTGTGAGCACATTTATCTGTCTGAAGTTACTGAACAAGAGTTGTCACGAGTGGTAAAAGCTCTATTGAACTCTGTCTGGAGCTTGGATTTACAAGAGAAAATGGGAGGGGTCAGAATCAAACATCTTTACTCTCCTGCTCTTGCCCTGCGATGAGACTAAAATCATCCTTTATTCAATACCAAGCAATTGCTTTTAAGTTCCTGGATCAAACATTTGGATCTTCTTATTAAGGAAGTAACTTTTCCCTAGTAAACCTATTTTTTTTTTTTTAACTCCAGGCATCAAAGGCAGATCAGATAGAATGCTTTTAAGATGATGAGATAAAGAAGATAAGCATAGAGATTAAAGAGCCCAGAGGTTGCATGAATCTGGTAGAAAGCACTTAAAAAAAAAAAAAAAAGACAAAACCTGCAAAGTCTTGGAAACATAATAAAAAAGTTAAGGTGCCAAAATACAATGAGTCGATATGATTCAGTTAATGGTTGCTGGACCAGGCTGAATGGAGACAATAAGTTACTTTCAAATTTTCAATTACTTTCTCTCCAATCTGCTAAGAACATATTTTAAGAAGGGGATATAATTTCCTTCTTGTCTGTACCGATTTTGTAGATTTTTGCATTTTTACAAGTTTCAGCAAATTCCAGACCATCTCTAGGACTATTTTTATAGCTTTGTCCTACTTTTTGTACTTATGAGCCCTTTCTTCCACATTTTATGCATGTCCTTTGAAAACATGTGCTCAAAACAGAGCTCCTGATATGTAAACATCAGTTTCTTCAAGTACTTTCCTTTGTAACCAGTGTCTTATTGGATTGTCACATTATTTTATCTTACAAGCAACTTCATCTTAACATAATTTCCTTTGAGTTTTAGGCCATAAGATGAGGACAGAAATTTTCAAAACTTTCTGAAGTACTCTTTGCTAATTTTCTCATTGATTTTCCTCTTTCAGACTTTGTGTGGCAGTTCTCATGATACAGCCAAACCTACCTGACCCAGTCCCAGTATTTGACCAAGCTGACAGGTTGTATTTGGTGAGTACACAGATCTTTGTTCTAAACCAGGATTTCTCAGTTGTGGCACCATGACACTGGGGCTGTCCCATGTGCCACAGATATAGAGCAACCTACCTGATTTCCACACCTACCATTTGTCAGCACCCCTTCCTCCAGTTGTGACTATCAGACTGTCTCCACACTTTGCCAGGTGTTCTCTGGGGAACCACTGTCCTACACTATTTTAGGGAGCAAACTCTAACCTGCCCAGACTTTCTGGGATGATGGAAATGTTCAGTAACTATCTAACATGGTAGCTGATCGCTACACAAAGCTATTAAGCACCTGAAATGTGGCTAAGGAATAGAATTCTTTAAATCCTACAAGTACTGTGAGGATAAAATGCTTCAGTACGGAAAGCTGAATAGGTGTTTGATTCCTTTGTTAAACATCATGTGATGTTGACAGGTAAGTCCCATTTCCAATATTTAGGGTTCACTCTGACCAGGCATTTGTTAAATTGTACAGTGAAGTTTACCAGTTTAGAAATTTAAATTCTCTTTTAAAGAGAAAAGTGATCAATTATTTCTGTATGATAGTCTTAACTGAAAATGTAAGAGTGAATTCTGGTAAATCCTTGAAAGAAAAAAAAACTAAACAAAGGGAAAACCAAACCAGGATTGAAAGAAAACATTTATTGAATCAATACTTTCTTTTTATTATCTACAAGCCAACACTGAACTCACTTTATTCAAGAATGAACATAATGTACAAAAAAAGTATGCTTATATTATAAAAATATGTCAATTTTATCTTTTGGGTGCTGAGCAGAAGTCATTTTAAACAAAATCAAGGCAAACTTGCTCTCTCTAGTGAAACTGCTATAATTTAACAAAAGTGAAAGCTAATCTCACAAAGCGTCCGTCAAGGCCCCTCCGCTGCACCCGGCCACAGCATTCCCACTCTGCTCGCCACGCCACCTCACGCTGGGGGGCGGGGGTGCACCTGGCTTAGAGAATGCAGGTCACTGATAACAGAATCCGTATCATCAGTTAAACCTTCATTCAGTTTCCTTTGCTTAACAGTTATTAGCATGTATTTCAGCAAAGTTATTAACAGTCAATCTTATTTAGTTAGCTTCAATTTTAAAATGAGATATTATCTCTGGGGGACCAGATCCCTGCCCGAAATTTACAACCCCACTTGTGTGAGGAAGCTGCTTTCAAACCTTCCTAAAAAATTGTGTCCAAGGTTGGTATCTTAGAATTCTTCATAATGTTCTTATTTCTTGAATTTATTGGCACCCTCCTCAGCATGTGCCCTCGGACAGTGTGGCTGCTGTGCCTGTGAAGTCAGTGGTGCCTGAAGAGAGCACAGCCTTGGGCTCACCGTGCAGACTCATGCACTTGGGTCTTTGGTCCTCGGAAGCAGAAAAGAGTAAAATCATGTGTTGGGGAAAAGGGACCATGGTCCCCTGTACTGTCATTCCAGGAGTTATATTCCAAGTATAAAAACTGTATTATTACTTTTAAAAGCCAAAACAGAAGTAGACTAAATGGCACCAGTGCCGACAATGCCAAGAAAAAACCAGTGTGTCTGGCTGATCAGAATGACCATGGCAAACCAGCTCTTTAGCGAATTAAAGTTTATTATGCAAGGTGCCTTTATGATTACTAAACATAAATGTTTTTTCCTTGACAGATTGTTTGAGGCTGACACCTATGAAGGCTCAAAATTGCAAAGTACAAGGACTGAGTGATCCAGTGCCCCCTGTACTGGGTAAGTTAAATTCAAAAGAATTGGGAGAGAAATGCTTTCACGTTTTGTCTACATAGACCTAAGACTCAGTTACCTGTTTCATAAGAATCTGGGACTAAGGTGAGGGGCGAGGGGTACAGAGAAGTGGTCATTTTCAACACCTAGTTCCTTAAAGTAAGTTTTTCAGTTAAGTGCCATTTGCTGCATGAAATGTTAATCCTACCAGTTAGATGGGGCTGAGCTGGACAAAGGTTTATGCTTTAACAAGAATGCAAACCACTAACTGGCTTAATGCTACACCTTTTTGGGAAGGGGAAGCATTTACAGAAATATAATGTAAAGAAAAAATATATGTTGGAACCTAAGAAAAGGTTTTCTCACCAATTCCATGAAAATTCACCATACAGGTTGTTTTCACGGGCAACGATTCAGCCAGGTCAGTGTGTTGCTCTTGGCAACTTCCACTGCTCCAGAATCTGGAGGCCACTGACTGCAGGACAGGCCAGAAGTTCAAACTGCTACTGGAAACAACTGGATACCATAATATTAAACAGAATAATGTAAAGATGATGCTCGGAGCCAGACTGGCTAAGGGTGTTGTTACCACCACTCAGATACAGAACCTGACCTGTTCCCAAGCACAGGTCCTTGCTCTCAAAATAAATATGCTGAACATTTACACCTGAATGCTTACGAATGCAGACTTTTATTGTAATTCTAACTAAACAGACCAAAAAGTCATACTTCTAAATAAGCTACAAGTAACCTTTTTTTGTGAAACTGATGTGACTTGGTGCCACAGCTAACCTTTCTCTAATAGCAGCAGTATCATCAGCCCATGGCAGCAAAGAAATGTTCATTTCTGGCATCCCATACAAAGCAACTTCATAAAGCATGCAGATATCTATTCTGCTGAAGTTTCAAATGAATAATCATTGTGCTTGTGGGTCTCATACCTTCCAAAATATACATAAATGGCAACAAATAGCAGGTCCTTGCTTACCAACAGAATCATAAGGCAGAGGATTGGAGGTGAGAAATATTTAAAATGGAAAAAATAATGCAAAATAGTGCTAGCATTCACAAAAAGGTCATGCTGAGATCAGATCCAAACTGATAAAAATTTAAGACACAATCTAAAGAACTCTGTCCATGAGTCCAAAGGCATGCCTGCCAGCTGAAGGAATGCAGGTTCATCTGACAGCAGCTTCTTCGGAGCAGAACAGGTAACATCTCACTGGAGTAACCACAACAGGATGAACAAGACGCTATCACACTTCTTTTTTGCAGTTGAAAAGAAAAGCAATCACGACAAAAAAAAAATTAAAGAATAGTAGAAAGAGAAAACATACAAATTCACAATGACCTATAAAACCAAAAGAAAATCCAAATTAAACTACTTCATTCTACTTGGGATTCTGCATAGTATCAGTATTCAAAATAATCTCCCTCTAAAGGACACAAGCAGCATCTTGTCACCAGAATCTCAAAGCCTCCTCCCCAACTAGAAGTCATTAAAGACAACATAAAACTAATACTCACCTGAAACACTTAGCCAAGTAAAACATTTTTGCCTTTTGTTCGAATTTTAAAGAGAGAGCAAAATACAGCTGACCCTTGAACATTGCGGGGGTACTGACTCACCCTAACAAACAGCCTACTACTGTTGACGGGAAACTTTACCGACGACAGTCGGTGAACCACGTATTTCGTACATGTACTATTATATCCTGTGTTCTTACAGTAAAGTATAAGCTACAGAAGAAATGTTAAGTCATAAGGAAGATACATTTATAGTTAGTAGGCCTGCTCATGTGCTTAAAGGGTCAGCTGTATCTTAGCCCCAAGACGTAATTAAGGCTGTTCGTGGGCCACAAGTGACCCTGCTGTACTCACTGGAGAGGGACCCGGCGCTATCCCGCCTTCGTATCCACAAGCTGCATCTGCACGTTGGCAGACATTCCGCCCCCGTAGCCTCCCTTGGACTGCATCTGGTTCTGAATGGAGCTAACCTAAAACAGGACAAACAGGACAAAAGTCAGGAAGCAGGGCCAAGGCAACTAAGCAATTCGTGTCTCAGCATTCTGGCTGTTTTTCAGAAGGGTACTTTTTATAGAAAAAAAAGTGCCTCACAATAGAATCAAACACAAACTAATGACATTAGAACAGCCAAAGATAAAAAACATCTATGTGGTAAAGCGCACAAACTTGACACAGTCTTAGTCTGACAAACTAAAGGTCTAAGAATCTGAAGACTTGGACAGCAGTTCAGATTTACTTACTACTATTCTAATTCTGGGTGAACTATTTATCTCCTCTGAGTGTCAGGCTCCTTATGTATAAAATGGTTAACATGATAATCTCCATTTACCTTACTGTGCTATTGTCTAATAGATTGTAGATATATAAATACCGGGATATTTTTTCTTTGCTGAAACAAAGGAACATAAAGTTATTTGCAAACTGTGAAGTGCTCTTAGTTTGTCATCATTATTCCAATCTTATATTAAAAGCAGTCTGGAAGCTAAGAATCGGGATAGACTGCTAGAAAAAGGAGCAATAAGGAGGCTTTGGAGGTGATGACCTAGCAGGGAAGTCAGCAAGACATCTGGTCTAATATATGGAATCGGCTCAGAGGGTGCTTTATGATCTGGGATGGGTGAAGTGGGGGATGGGAGCACCGTCTATGCACTAAACTACTTAATTTGAACACGTAATAAAAAAAAAAAGTATGTGAGGTGCTTTTTTTCATTGGTGATCCTGAGTCAATATGTTTAAAGAAAGTAATAAGACTTGCCTAAGTTGTTGGAGTAAGGCAGGTTTAAGTATATTCTAATAGGAGAGAATGGCAAAAAATAAAATGCATAGCTTATTTAGATCCAAAAGGGTTTAAGTGAGAAAGCATGATTGGCTCTGAAAATGGGTACACTTTTACCCATTTACTGAAAAATTTATTCACAGGAACATCTTACTCTTATGATATATATTGTTACCATAATATCTACATTCACAATCAAATGACTGCTTTATAAGAGTATTAAGAAAAAAAGTGAAATCTGTAGACCTGCCTACTTTAAGTAAACTTGCTCCGTCTGAGGAGGCTACAGCCATCTGCTATCAGTTCAAGTTCATTTGCTGCTCCTCTGGGTGAATAGCATCATGTTTTACACCACAGCGGACTTCACCCTGTCCTGAATGATTCCCCAGCTAACGTGACATGTTAGCTTTTTATAGATTAGGCCTATTTTAAAACAACACCTTTATATTTGTACATGATGCCAAAAATGAGTTCTTCAATTTCAAACTAAAAGATTTGGATTTTCTAATAGTCACCATGCTCAACACTGAAGGGTTACTATGGACATACAATATTTTAACACAACAGGGCTACGTTATGAAAAAAGTCACAGGAACCTTTTCTAACAAGAAGTTAGTATGAAAGACAGTCTTAGGAAGAACAGTGTATTTAGGAGAAAAAAAGAAGTCATTTGACCGTTCAATAATCCAGCGTGGCATGGCTGTTTTATATGCGTCAAACCATGCTCCAAATTCTAGCTGCTCAGTTCTCAGGAGAAAACATTTCTCTGGATACACAGCATGTCTATGTGAGCTTGTCTTATTACTGCACCGGAGAACAGACTCCTCTTACCTCATCAGGCTTCTGCAAGTTAGAACTGTCAAGGATACTTTGAAGAAACAAGGATTTCAAAACCCTCAGCCTGTGGGGGAGGGGGCTGTCTGGGTATGGCTGATACAACTACTAATAGAGGCAATGACTACAAAAAGTCTTATGTGATTCTAAAGAGCTAAAAGACTTCGTAACATTTCCACCTCAGTCAGCAGAGAAGGCTGCCCAGAGACTGCAGGGAGGAACCTCCACCCAAGGGCCCGTCTCCATACTACACCTCAGTGAGCAGGCCAACAGGGAGGCCCCACGAGGACCAGGCCTGCCTTCTACCTGAACTAACGGCGAGCAAGAGTCACACACACCAAGCCAGGCTTTTCAGGAAAATGGCAAATACATTTCTTAAAAGAAATTCTGAAATGTGCATAAACACATTTTAATTTTAAGAGTTAATGAAGTAAATACCATGAACCAGAAATTTGTACTAAACAGATTTTTTAAAACCCCGAAGTGGGGAAGAAGACGAGACTGACTGAAACTCATCGTATGTAAGAAATTTGAAACCATTCACTCTATTTATATATGTATATAACAACAATATTAACAAAAGTCATAGGGTCCCACTTAGTCTTTTCACACAGTGCTGATCCAAGAAACAAAGCTAATGAATTATATTTTGACAGCAACCTGACACACCTCTTACATTTCCACAAAACGCAGCTGAATTGAAATATTTTTCCTACAGGTTTAAAACAAACAAGCTGTTTCCTTTCACAGAAGATACAAATGCCATTTCTTTGCTTACCTAGTAACTGAAGTTTGCTGTATCCAGGATACCCACCTACCTATTTTAAAAGTCTCTGTTCCCTTGTTAAGTCTTTTGTTAACGCTGTCCAGTTGAGTGAGTACACAATGGATCATGATTTTGTGTTCATAAAAGCCTTACTGACTTTCCTGTTCCAATCACTTCATGGATCATTTAGAGACATCTGTTCCCTTAGCTATGGGGGAAAGAGGCTCTCAATACTTAGTTTATTTCAAGGCAAAAAGGAAACAGAGCCCTGATAAAAACTCTCATTTTGTGGTGTTTCTATTACACTGCACTCTTTTTCTCTTACATGAAAATTAAGGAATAAAAAGAGTTCAGCTGAGTAAACTGAAAGTCTTTTCTGAAATTCACTGAAACCTCTATAAAAGACAGCAAATTGATCTTTTCTTATTTCTGGTTCTTCATATCTTACTGCCAAATTTAAAATTTAAAGTATTATTCAGAAGAAAAGCAGCTATGAAGAGTTTAGTATCAGAAATAGAAACCAATGCATAACTTGGCAAATTAGATGAGAGATTAATTTTTCATTGTTCATTTTATTCTCTTCTATGCTCACATTATATATTTATATTTGATATCTACAAATTCATTTAGCATAGTGTGATCATTACAAACGTGTGCCTGTCACACAGGTTTCGTGTAACTGTGCCCCAGAGCCTCATCTGCATGTTCCACCAACATACTTACTGAATTCATTCCGCTGAAAAGGTCTCCTGATCCGACGTGAGCTGTGTGTACAAAGTTTGTCGGCTCTCCGATCATACTTCGGTCAATCCGCCGGTGCCTTTTCTAAAATATGAGAGCAATGTGTTGGGAAAATGACCTTGTTAACGAAAAACTTATTGTGATGGATAGCTATACTATGGTTGAATGATTGTTTAATAATATAATAAATTTGCCCAGGATACAAAAATGCCCAAATCCTGGACTACCACAATTACTTAAGATGAAATCCCAAAAGAATATATGCAAACACACAAAAAAATGACTGGTAAAGCAAAATAATAGGTTGTTATTTAGAACTTAAAATAGATTATTTGGTCTATTTTGGCCATCAACATATCAGTATAAAATTTAAGTTTTATTCTTTTAAAAAAATGACACAAATATAAAATTATCAGTAACTACTATTAGCAAAGAATACACTGTGATTTGAGTACAATGTTCTGGTTTTAAACATTGCTTTTCAATGATGTTAAGAGTCGCCAAGTTTTCCACAGTTCTAGATACTGTGATCTAACTGGGAGGGGCCACCAGCACAGCTGGCTTCATGCTCTATTATCAGCCCAGCTCTTCTCTTTCTACGCCTACTCTTGAAGTTAGTTATGTATGATATGAACATGCGGCATTAGGCTGCCTCTGAACACGGTATTTTATGTCTGCACCTCCTGAAATACTGGTACGATCCTGATAAATCCTAAAAACTTATGAAGACAGACCCAGGTGGTGCCTCCTTAGAACATGATCTTCTAAAAAAGCAGAAAGTTCATGTGTTAATTTTAGAAGCCAGTACACATTGTTTTACTGTCACCTGGCTTTCGCTGCTGCAGATCAGAATCCCCAAATGGTGTCTGCAGAGCTGCAGACTTTCTCCAAAGCCTTCCTGAGGTGCACAGGGGGCTACCTGTCTCAGCCAGAGGGCCCGCCTGTTTCAAAGAATCAGATCTACTCCAGGCCACTGGGAGTCTAGATCATCCTTTGCCATGTGAACACACAGAAGCAACTTCTAATAGTTCTGAATTTGCATCATTTCCTCCAGAACGGTGTGTCTGGGGCTTAGCAGAAGGCTACAACTTGGCCCACATATCCATGTTAAATGATTTATTCTAACAGTTGAGTTACTGCAGGAAGATGCTGGTAAAAAACAGTCATCATGGTGCCCTCGGGCCTCCATCCATCTCACCTAGAAATGCTTCTTGAAAGAATAAATGAATGAAATGATATGGCTGTGAATTGATATGCTTGTGAAAGGAGTATTACTATACATTCATAAATAATGACATAACATTCTTAATACTGAAGGAGGATGTTCAAAAGCACATTAACTAAAGTGGCTCAAAAGACTGCTCTCTCACCAAAACGCAAAGGCCTAAAGACAGTAAATACTTTTAAACTTGAACTTTGCTGAGTTGGCCTCTAACCTCACCTTGATTTTATGATACAGAAATGGAAGCTTTCAATCCTTCCTTCCCTAAAGATAGAAGGAACACAGCTTTTAAAGCAGGGGAATGACCAAATTGATTTTAAAAGGCTGTTCTGTGATAGCTACAGGTGAAAGACAGGTTGGAGGGGGCCAAAAGAAAAGTTATTTTAGTGATGTTGGCGAAGAGATGAGATTACTTAGATTCAACCAGTAGCAGCAGAGATGGAAAGAAGTGGACAGATTTAAGAGGTGATCAGTGGGTAAAATAAACAGCATTTGGTTGTTGACTGGATTTGGGAATTGAGGGGAAGTATAAGAGAAAGGCATGGATTTCAGATATGAGAAGCATACGCACAAGTCATTGCATTAGATAACCCTTGAAGGCTTTAGGAGGACGATGAAAGACTCAGTTTAAGACACACTGGATTTGAGGTATCAGTGAGACATCCACATCCCAGTGAAGTTATCAAGAGAGCAAAGTGTATGTATGGAAGTAGGATTCTGAAGATAAGAAATTGAGAGTCAACAGATAATAAAGCTGTACAAGTTAATGAAATTTCCTAGCAAAAAAGGGGCGGGGCACAGATGAACCCATTTAAGGTTGGGTGGAGACAAACAAACCATCAAAGGAGGCCAAAAAGAAACATCTTGAAGTTAGGGGAAAATCAATTGTGTCTTGAAAGTGTCAAGAACAGAGCAGGAAACACAGCTGGTATCTGGTGAGAGGTCAACTACGGACTGAGAGGTGCCCACTGGCCCCACAACGTGAAACAGGCACCCCAGACAGTGCAGTGTCAGAGCAACAGGAGTGGGAGGCACTGGGGGGGACCAGGGACCAGGGGCCAGGCAGGGGCATGGAGAATCAAACACAGGCAGCTGGACACAGCTGGCCTTCTGCACAGGGAGAAGAAAGGTGGCAGAGGCTGAAGGGGAGGGGAAATGAGGACAGATGGAAATTTTCACCGTGAAGATGAGAAAGACTTGATTATGCTTCATTTCTGATGTGAAAGATCCAAAAGAAGAGGCAGAAGATAAAGAAAAATAAAGGATTATCAACATAAGGTTACAGAGAAGGTAGGGAGAGAGGGATCTAGACACAGGCAGAGGTGCTTAGACTTCAATTATAACATCCTTCATCAATCAAAACCTAGATTCTAAGTATAATTAAATATTTTAAAATATAAAAAGTACTATTTTTCAGGCACATGTAGACATTTACAGAATTGCACACTTTTTTGGTGTGCTGTATTAAGACGACAAGAGAGACAAGATTTAAATCATGGGCAAACAAGGGGAATTCCAGAGTCGCCTCTGCAAAGAAAAACAGGAAGTGGCGCCCTCTGCTCTGACATGTTGTCAGAAGCAGAGTCACAGTTTCTCCTGGAAACACTTTATTCTTTACAGGGAACTTCATTAAGACTGTCAACCATTTGAATAATTCTTGCTATCCTTAAAATATTAACTCCTACAGAAAGTCAAGAACTAGGGGTACACAAAAATGAATAGTTGTGTTGCGGGGGGGTGAAGGGGGCAGTAAAAAAAAGTCTCTTCCTCTAACTTTTCTACATAATTACTTCTCATCACAGTTAAATCATTATTAAAGATAATGAACTAATAACTTGGAGTAGATGCAAGAAGGAGAGGAGATAAAGTGCCACTGTGTGACAATGTTTATATCCTGATACAAACAGACCAACTATAAAAGCACTTACGAGACAATGGGGAAATTTAAAAACTGACAATATTAGATGATAGTAAGAAATTATTTAAAAATAATTTTGGGGTAAAATAATTTTAAAATACTTTGGGGTAAGGTAATATAATACTGCAGTTATCTTTTTTTAAAAAGTTCTTTTTCAGCAATAAAATGAACCACTGATACATATACTATAAAGTGGAGGAAACTAATGTGAAAGAAATGGCACAAAATAGGCACATGCTATATGTAATTCTATTTATATAAAATTATAGAAAATGCAAACTGCTGTAACAGAGCAGATCAGTGGCTGCCTGGGGACGTAGGTGGGGGTGAGGAGGAGAGGGACTGCAAAGGCACCTGAGACCTTCTGAGAGTGGATGTGGTATGTCCAGAATGTGCTTTAAATTCTCCAGTGCCGGGGGCAGAGGTGAAACAAGAAGGGCCCCCATAAATAACTATGGTGGCTACGTACATTTGTGGGCGGGGGGTGGATGAGGAGTTCTGTTCCCTCTACGTTTGTATATATTTGATAATTTTCCTAATAAGTTTTTTTTAACAGAATTGTTAATTTACAACTTTACATAAAAATTTATGTATTGTGTACTAGTAAAAATGGTGTGAAACAAATATAATAAACATTTAATTTCATGTCTGATTTCCATCAGAACTTAATTTTGTCCTCATTCTTTCTGATGCCTTACAATTCTAAAACCACTCCCTACTCACTTCCTGTCTTCCTTCCAAAACTACTAAAAAGTATATTTAAAAATATACTACAGAGCTACCAAATAACATGTGGCCAACTACAATATCAATTTAGTTTAACACTGCTGTTCATATGTATCATCCCTACACTCACATTACATGTTCCTTCCTAGAAAATAAAACCCCAAAACAACAAGAACAACGGCTTAAACCATTAAGGTCTGGTGGCAAGGTATTCAGTGCATTCAGAGGTCCCGCTCCACGTGGCCCATTTTCTCAGCTCTGCCCTCTGCCCTCCTCATGTCGGCTTTAGTCTCAGGCTGGCAGCAACGCTGGTGCAGCAAGCCTAGCCCTTCCACCTTGTAATGACACACAGAGAAACAGCTCTTTATTGAAAACAAGGCAGATTTCCCCTGAAGTCTCCACAGAACTTCCTCTGGCTTCTGGGTTCTAGGCAGTCTTTAACCAAACCCTCTTGCCCACAGGCTGCCTTACTTGGGCCAAGCTCCTAGACTCAAACACTGCTCAAGGAGAAAGGACACCCGGGCCTGGCATGGCGCCTTGTCCAGGATCACCGTGAGCAGAGTGAATGGCCCCTACACAGCACAGGAGGGCAGAGGGATGATAATGTCCATCACATAAACTATTATGAAATTTAAAAATTACTAGGCAGATATTTTTAAAACTTGGATTGTAAAACTCAGAGAAGGATTATCCTGTGGTTATTCTTCCAACAGACCCACTGATCTCTCTGCTTTTGTTTACCTTGTGTACACTGGTGTATATCCTAGGTCCCTTTACTTCTATGTCTTCACTTTATTAATTCTATGCTGATAACTACTAAATCTGATTTTCTTTCTTGGGCTTTAGACTCTACAATCAACTGTTTACCAGACACCTCCATGTGAATGTTGACAAGATACTCAAATCTCCTCTGTCCCATAGTGACCCTTCCTCCTCTCAGTCCCTGTTCTGGTAAATGCTTCTCCTCGTACTTCAAGCCAGATCTGAGGGCTCTCCCTCAGACTATCACATCGCATCCTCCTCGGTCATGTCCTGTGGATTCTGCCCCTTACTCCCTCCAACACCATGTCACTGCCACAGCCTTATTTCGAGTCTCTATCTCCTTTCACCTACGTCACCGCAGTCGCCCCCTAACCTAATTGCTTCCTTTCTGACAACCTTCCATCTCCTCCCCGTAGTCTTCACCGTGGATCTAGATATACCTTTCTGAAGTACAGA